ATCGCTTATAGTGGATTGTTGACGACAAAGTGTTCGGAATTTTTGATCCTTTACAAAAGGTTTCTCCATGATCATATTGGCGTTTTTTACTTTATGCAAATTACAAATTGTGGTATTCAAACATAGTATAAATTGATTTGGTTGTCATAATCATCTAGAAACAATTAAAAAGTGACTTGTTACTTTTAACTATGTAATTCCGCACGTTGGGTCTAAATAAATCGATCATCTAAACTTTCATCTTTGATAATTACCTTTTAAATAACACCAAATCCACCTTGCCCGAACGTATTAGCATCAGAGAAACTGTTTGTTGCAGCTCTAATAGTACCAAAGTCATATTCGAAGGATTCAACAGTATCAATTTCATTGTCAGCTTCAACAACGTTTCAGCCAATTGTAAATGCAAGAACATGAAGATAGAGATTGACATACATAAAGACTATTTAAAGAAAACTAAACTTACTTTCATGTATTTCTTTTGTTTTACTGTTTCATCTCATTCTTAGGACGATGTAAACGCAAAGAGCAAGTATTAGGCCCACAACAATTTGAACAAACTTAATTATGATGGTTCGAGTTTTATTAACATCATTTCCTACAAAATCCAGAATAAAACCATGTTAATATATTATCAATCATTTTACTGCTTAGAATGTTTTATGTTAAAAGTAACACTTTGTTAAAATCTAATATGAATTTAGCAATTAGCATTAAACAACATTAGACAGGATTGGGCAAAACAAAATGAACAACATATTAGCTTTTTTTCTTATTTAATTCTGCTAGTAGTGTCCAGTCCACCTTACAAGCATGCCATTAAAGTCATTTGATAACACCGTAGACAGTCCCTCAACTGTAAAGTAATAAATGGATTGCCTGTCGGATCTCACACACAGTATATATATAGAGAAGTAGCAGGTCTTATATCTACTCAAACTAAAATAGAAGTCAAGGATTTTCTCTGGTCCTGGTGCTGGCTGAGGAGTATCGTTATAAAACGAATAGGTTTCATATTGAAGAATGCAGCTGGGGTGAAGATACCAAATCTTGGTTTCCCATTACAACACCGTGGTATAACTTGGGCAACCTGAATCAGGCAATCTCTACAATCCTCCGAGGTTAAATCAGGGGTGCACTGCATAAGTCCATAAATTGTCAAAAGAATCTGGTCCGGTCCTATTCGCAGCAGCGAACTTCTTGAGGGAACCACCAAAAGCTGCCTGGCTGTGTAGATTGTTCAACAATGTCGTCAAATCCCAGTTGAACTCTTCTGGACTCGTTAAAATTTTTTGTTCCACCTATAAAAGTAGGGGAAAGTTACAAGTGTTCTGAATATGTACTCATCAGAATAACGTAGCATGCACCAATTATGTGGATCCTGAAATGTCGCCTGTTTTTTATAAGGGCACAATTGTAAGATAGAGCGCGTGGCATTATAGATACAAATGCGACAATATCGAGTTGAACATCTCCTCTACAGAGCGCAATGGCGTTGACTCTATCAGCATATTCTCCCATGGAGGCATTATAGAATCCATTTGTATCTGTATTAGAGGAGACCGAGGAGAGGAGACAATTCAGGTTTGCGCTGTAGGTACTATTACTCATGTAAGTACCATTCTCTCCCCATGGATAAGTCTGGGATTTAACAG